TCACCATACAAAGTTATAGCAATAATTAGGCCAACGTCTCAATTTCCCCTTTCATCATCTAATTGATTTTGCATTTTAGAAATGCAAACGAGTTTGTATAAACTCGGTTGATGCAGTGGTAGAGCTTCACTGTGTAAACTACTGCTGATTGAGGGACCTGCTGAAAGAGATCCACTCAAATTCAAACTACATTACTTACTGGCTAAACAAAGTCATTTCATCCGCAATAAATACATTTGTTAAAACACACTATGATTCTGAGAAATGTCCTCCCTGCAGCTGAGATATAATGATGACATACATCAGAAGATTAATGGATGTGGTAATTCATGCAAGATGTTGCACTAAAGATTCAACAAGACAGAGAAGAAAACACAAGTCTTGACTTGATTAGATCACATCTTAATCACACTCATATTTTTCTTTATTAAAAGAGTACAAATGAGTAAAACCCTCTGCTGATATACAAGAACGTCATAAGAGAAAGAAAGTCATAAAACTGGAACTGTACTCACTGTGCCTGTGGGAATTCTGGCCTGTCTGAACAGTAGCCATTGTGTTTTGGCAGATCCCTCCGCAGCAGAGGGATGTGTTCTAACTTCACAATACTGTTGTTTTTGAACAGGTTGCTCTCCTTTCCCACAAACCTGATTAATGCCAGCGACACGCGCCGAGGCATTGCCAAGGCTTTTGGCATGTGGAGCGACGTCTCACCGTTCAGCTTCAGAGAGGTGCCAGCGGACCAAGAAGCCGACATTAAGATTGGTGGGTACTCTGCAGGTCAAGTCCTCAACAGATGTTCCCCGGCTCCAAGTTCCAGACTTTTGTTGTTCCTGGTTTTCTCTGCATGCGGCTCTAAAAATCTTTAAATCACATCACCGCAACTATATTACCAAGCTCATATTGGGGATGATTCATTATGCATAATGAAAGAAATGAATCGATGCGTAACAACTTCCATACATGTCAGGCCCATGGTGAAGCTGTCTAAATCATGCTTTATCTGTCCCTTTGGGTGCTCCTGCATACATTTTTTGGTGATCCTAAGAGGAATTTTTCATCCTGTGGGGGAAAACTAAAGAAAAAATATAACTTTTGAAATTTAACATTTATTTCAGAGAAAGGATTTCCCTCCCCAGCTCTGAGAAATATGTCTCCCTTTTGGTTTTGGCAGGATTCTACCCGGTCAACCACACAGACTGTCTGCAGTCCCATTTGCACCATTGTTTCGACGGCATCACAGGGGAACTGGCCCATGCATTCTTTCCCCCAACGGGGGAGATCCACTTTGACGACCACGAATACTGGATTCTTGGAAACATGCGTTTCAGCTGGAAGAAAGGCGCGAGTCTCCGGTGTTTGTAGAAAGTCCAAAGGTTGACAGAAGCAGCATAAATAAAAAATAATCTACAGTGTCTTTGTTGCAGGAGTTTGGCTCACAGATCTTGTCCATGTGGCCACTCACGAGATCGGTCATGCCCTGGGACTCATGCACTCCATGGACTCAAAGGCAATAATGCACCTCAATGCAACTCTGACGGGGCGTAAGCTCATCACACAGGATGATGTGTGGGGTATACAACGTCTTTATGGTACGCTTATGAATTCTACAGCTCCTTAAATGTTAAATGGCATCAAACCTTCTGAGCATCAGAGTCAGGTGTGTTGGATGGATGTTGCAACCAATTGTATTTCATTTGCTTCATGACCCCTGTTCACAAGATCCCAAACTTGATTGCTACATTGTCAAATTAGAACATGGCGATACAACATTGCAGACTCATAATTTAAAAAAATCAAACACTTAGAGCAGTGTCTTCCATGGTTGAGGCTTAGTTTCAGTTCTTGTAGATGTGTCCTAGTCAAGAGAGAACAGATGCTTCATTCTCCAAAGGAACTCTCCAACAGCAGAGCTCAGGTCACAGACAGAACACATCAACGGCACCGCAACCTGCCACGGTAGGAATTATTTCTCAGGCAGAAAGATTTCTGTTGATCTGCAGTTCTGTTGATAGGATGACTTATGACAAAGTTCTTTTTGGTGAATTTTACAGATGTAAATACATCACAGACTGAGGGGAAATCATGTGATGACAACCTGATGTAGTGTCTACTTAAAAAAAATCAAAAATGTCATCTAATTTGATTCCAATATTGAAAGATTTATCTTGATTTCATTTCTCATGCTGGGATCAGACAGACTTATTAAACACAGTGGTGCAAAACTTGTGATCAGTTTGGGTCTGGACTATCCAAAACTCCTTCGGATCGCCATAATAAAAAAATCCTTAGAAGTATCCAGAGTGTTCTGCTCGTGCCTGAGTGTTGTTCTCTGATCCTCCCCCCTCTCTTCTAGGATGTTTGGACCGGTTATTTATCTGTCCGGCCTGGACTAGGAAAGGCTATTGCGACAGCAAGCGCAAGCTGATGCAGAAGCACTGCCCATCCAGCTGTGATTTCTGTTATGGTAAGACGCAGCAGCAGCAAACAGCAGCAGTCCAGGGGGAAAAGGGGAGAGCTTTCTTTCAATTGAGCTGCTGTGAACTGTTTGCCAATGGAGCAACGGGAGCCAAAAGGTCCAGCCATGCAGAGCTGTGATTTTTAAGGAGAAATGCACTTGCTACTGGAGAGGAGTGAGTTAGTGGAAAGTTGGTGGAATTATAGGATCGTCAGTGTAGCACAGGTACCTACACATGGCTAGCTTCACATCACGTATTGATAATGCGTCAGCAGCTTTAGCCTTCTGAGGCTTAACGAAGGGTGTACTGATGTCAAGCCTCTGCAGCACAACAGGAAGTGGCTCCTGTCAGCCATCACAGCCCATGGACTGCTGCGGCCTTCTGAGACTTGAGTCAGCAACAAGGGGACAGCGAGGAGCACGGCAGAGAGGAATACGATTCCTGGCTCGCCATAATCTGTTCCTCATTGTTGATTGGGAGATGTTGTGTGCGGCTGTGGAAAATTCCTAAGTGAATCCAAACCCACTGGAATTTCAGACTGTGGCTTGAGGGTTAGAGACACACAAGGTCAATTTGGATTTTTGTGGCATTAACGAGAGTGACTGTTTTTTAAGCAGAATTTAGAATGATCACAGGGCTGGCTGTTGTTTTGTCCAAAACCAGATGGAAGATTGCACTGATAAGGCAATCACGGCGCCAACAGACATGTTTGCCTCCAGTAGTTGCTATGATAATATATTTTAAGAATGACATTTTGGGACTAAAAAATATGCAGAGCATCATGAAAAATTATTTTTGCTAATTACTGTAGCAGAAGCGCTGGGTAATTACTGTCTGGCGTCTTGGGCTGTAGCATTGATAAAGCTCTGACATCTGCATTTCTTCCTTTGAATCCACAGAATTCCCTTTTCCCACTGTGGCTCCCACACCGGCTCCTCCACGGACCAAACACAAGCTTGTCGTCGAGGGCAAGATGCTCACCTTTCGCTGTGGGAAGAAAATAGCTTCAAAAAAAGGCAAAGTGTAGTAAGTATCCTATAGGAATATCAGAATTTTTTTAAAAATAAAATGTCATGGAATTTTACACAACACACTGGATAAACTGAGATATGGTCTGTTCTCCTGGGTGACGTTCTGTCAGTGACTTGTCTATTGCTACACTGCTATTCCAGTGTCTCCCAGAGAAGTGTACTGATGCAGGTGACCAGCTAACTGTAATGCTCCTGGTGTGCTGGCACAGAGGCATTGATAAACAGTGAACAATGCTAAGTAGTTCTAGCGAAGTTAGGTAAGATTTAAGAGTTAATTTGATCTGAAATTATTCTAATTTATTGACACTCTTGTGTTTGAGGCCAGGAGGACTGATTAACTTTTACTAAGAACAAAACACGACTATTGTCACTTCTCAGACAAAGAGGTGATCTTAGTTTCAGCTGAACAAACCAGTTCTGATGTTTGTCAGACATTTACTCACCTTTTTGACTTCAGCTTTTCCCCTCCAATTCACATGGATGATTAAAGAGTGGGTGAAGTCATTCATTTGCCTAACTAGGCCGGAGCTGCTGTTTGCTGTCATTGAGCATCTGTCCAACAATCTGACTTCTATTCCAGCTGGTACAAAGACGACGAGCTGCTGGAGTTCTCTCATCCCAACTACATCTCCCTGAAAGACGACCACATCACCATAGTGGCCAACGCCATCAACGAAGGCACGTACACCTGCATCGTGAAGAAGAGAGAAAAAGTTCTCACTACCTATTCTTGGAGAGTGCGTGTGCGTTTTTGAGGGTAGTGCCAACGTCTCTGCACACTGAACAGGACACAGTAGCTATGTCTACATGGACACAAACAGTATAAAAGTCTGAGTAGAATGAAAGGGATTCATGTAAACATACCAGTTTACATCAAGGGAAGCTATCAGAGGCTCTGATACCATGTAAAAAAAACTACGGGAAAAACAAAGTGTGTTTAAAAATAACCCTGTTTCAGACTGGTGTTCCTGAAGTGGAGGCAGGGCAGATATTTCTTCTACAATTGTCATGTAATTAGACATCTGTAAGTGTGTCAGGTGGTTTAAACAAAGATTTGTTAGTATAGAAAATAAAAATATCCACGGGCCATCTGTTCCTCCTGCAATAACTAAATGACACACAGAGCACTGTATTTCAAAAGTATACATGTTACCAAGAGTAAAACCTATTGGTACAAACTGCCAAATGTTTCCCAAAGCATAATATAAACAGCCTTAGATTGGACATTAATATACCCTACGACTAGCCTATACAAAAAGCATCCCATGTGCGGCCCAGAGACAACCTCAGAGTGGTCCAGTCTGTGGGCATTTTAAAAAGTGCAGTTAAACCGGGAGAATTCCGATTGATGAGTAGTCATATTCCTACAGATGACAGACTAAAGGAGCAACACTCTCCTTAACTCAACAATGCAACTCATGACACATCTTGTGTGTTGGACAGTTGCATCTGTATATGTTAAAAGAATGTCAAAATTTTTATTTACCCTGCATGAACTGATAAATTCTTGTTTATTTCACCCCAAACTACAGGCTTATGTTGGGTTAATGAAAACATTCTGTTTTTCATTACTTTTACAAGGTTCAATCTTTTAGTCCAAATTATATAATCACTGAGTTTTCACAACTGAAAATATCTGGCCCAGGTGATTCTCTTGGGTTAAAAAGCCTAGCTCACAGTAGTTAATATTTGAAAATACAAAAAAAGAAGCTTCTGTATAATATTTGAAAAATGATTTAATTGTGGACAAGATCAAACCTCTCCAAGTCCAACAATTGGCTCCAAGGCTACGCTCTGAACACTGGTCTATGTAAACAGAGTAATTTTACTTTTCTCGGAGGTGAACTGTGATTGGAATCAGATCGAAAGAACCTTTGCACATGTAAACATAGCTATTAAAAACATGGTCACCAGGAGACCTCATTCACACGGGCACATATCAATGTTTTTTTTTAAGTCTCTCCAGTATTTACCACATAAATGTCTGTCATCGTTGTCATTGTATAAATGTATTTTAGTTTGCATATAATAAATGTTCTGTGACCAGTAGTATTTTAGTTAAAATACTACCTGACTGTGAAAAGCTGGTAATGAGACACTTTGTGGTTTCTCCTTCATTTGTTGATGAAAAATCCATGCAGCCCTCATCAGCTGTTTGGGAGAGCGTTCACTCCACACACACGAGTCTGGAAGTCTTCAAAGCTGCTGCTGATGCTAGGGTAGTAAAGGAGGGCTGGGGGGGAGCAGGGAAAGTGAAGCCTCCCAGAAGGTTTTATGTCGTCTCTACAAACAAACAAGGAGTTTTTAGCTGAACACTATTGTAAATTGTTTAATTCACTCTGCACACAGATGCCACGTTTTTCTAAGGTTGAAGAATATTTACTGAAGCATTTGCTTAGATGCATGTCACTTAAAATATTTACACTGTAAACAATCAGAATAAAGCCAAGATAAGCAATGTTGTCTACGGTCGTAAGAACAGCTTCAAACTCAAAACCACATATGGAACACCTCAGACGTCCAGCTTACTTTACTAGCAATGCTGTGAGGCCAGCAGCTTGTCTCCAGGGATCGAGCAGTCAGTTCCACGAGCCGCTCTCCTTCCAAGCTTATACAACACATCGGGTGTAATAATCTGCAGAAGGGCTCTGCTGGGGACAGAGGAGAGATAAAACTGATTAATGAACATTTCCATTCAGTCTTTACTCACAGTCCACAGAGCAGGGTATTTTTATCAATCTGTTCCAATGAGAAGAACCAGCAGCTTTGCAGCCAACAAGTCTGTACCATTTACTTTTCTTAAGCAACAAAAAAAAAAAAAAAACAGACAATTTATTGTTTTAACACTGAAGTTGCAGAGCCATTTCAAAACAAATGTGAGACAAAGTGTGGACCTCTCTTTCACTGGAAGAACAAAGTACACAGACCATGTGTGCGGAGCAGGGAATGACATCATTTGTTTGGACAGCATCTGTCAAATTGGGTTTAAGGCTGGATTCTTTTTTTTTTTGCATTAAAACTCCCTTGATTTTTTTTGCTCCCAGGGCATTGTGTGGTTTTGTTTATATAGCTTGTAAAGGTTTGTAAATACAGGGAAAATGGCAGACAAAACACAGTTTCAAACTTTATTTCTAAGAAAAATACTGCTCTCCTTTAATCAAGAGAGCTAAGAGTCCAAAGTGAAGTTCTAATATGCTGGATGGAAAACACAGCCAATGCTGCATCATTATACAGTAGCTGAGGCAGCCAGGAAATACCAAGCATTTACAAAATCTGCTCCTCTCACATGAAGTATAAAAGAGGGGAAAATACAGCAAAAGTCAAACACAGGAGCTGAACTTCTGGCAGATTTATTACCCTCTTCTATTTCAGAACTAAAAGGACCATATTTAAATCCTTGGGATGACATGAAAATACAGAGTGTAGCAGTGGAGAGGAGAAATAAGCCACTGGTCTTGCTGTGAAACAGTCTTGACACTTGGTTTACAAGTGTAAACCTGTGACTCCATCTTATCGATATAAGTCCCAAAATTCTTTGCACACTCTTCTTCAGCTTCACCACAGAGCATTCTGTAGTTTACGTGCTTAGAACTTAAGGCTGAATCCTGGACCGACTGCAGACGCTCCCTGGTTGCTAGTTGTCAGGTGAAATCCTGTGTCTTTGAGGTCATCATCACCCTAGGGAAAAAAAGAAAAGAAAAATGAAATGTGACTTTTGGCTAACTCTTAAATTTTGAATATATAGACGTCCCGCACTGTAATGTGGTTCGGCAGTCATGCCCTCAGTGCAATCCTGGGTTTTTAATATTTTAAATGTATTCTTGCACTGCTGATTTTTCACTCTATCGCAGGTTTTTGCAGTATATAAAACAGTTTCATTTTCCAATATTTTCATTATTTTAATGATAAAATAAACATTTTCTAGCCTAAGAAGAAAAAAAACAGTAAAAAAAAAATAGACACTTTATAACACATACATACAGAGTATCACAAGAAATAACCCCTACGTACAGGTAAGAGATCTATAAAAGTTTTTGGCCATATTTCATGCCCCACACTGCCTCCTATCAATATACGTAAATAATATAATAACTATTGCGCCACTACTTTGCAGTCTTTCGCCTATTGAGGGACCACTACTATTGCGCCACTACTTTGCAGTCTTTCACAGACCACTGTGTTTGATTTTCTTTTCCCATGAATGCTTAATTTTAAATATTTTTTAAACTTTTCTTGCTTTTCTTTGACAAATATACCTAAAATTATTTTTTATTCAAAGGTCAGTTTTTAAGTCATTTTTTTCCATTTTATACATCAACTAACTGTCCAACATTTGGATTTAACAAAGTTCATTGAAGTTATTTCTGGTTAAATTTAAATTATGTTTGTACAGATTGTTTGTGACATTATCTTCATGTAAAGTTTAGATTTTTGTACTTTGTGCACATATAGACACAAGGTAGTCATATAAGAGCATAAATCCAATCACCTGTTAAAAAAAAAACAAAAAAAAACCCAAAATGTATATTTCGGCCTCATTAACCTCTAAAAAAAAGAAAAAAAAAAAGAAAAGAACTTCAGGGTAGGTAGGACCACTGCTGAATCCATTAGGATCTACAGGGTGCTCATCATGGAAAACAAGAGTGAAATTTGCAGACATAAAGCAGAAGCCTGTAGGTCTTTAATCTATTTAACACAGACGCCGTACTCAAAGCCTGGTAGCCGTATGTCATGGAGAAAATAGAGCTGATGTTCTTACCAGGTGACTGTAGGCCAGGCCTCCCTCGGGTGGACGGGGACTGGTGCCTCTCTTCACCCTCTGCTGCTCGCTCTTGGCCGGCCAGGTGGGGAACATGGACGTGTCAATGGGCAGTGGCGTCTCTCTGAAGTACTCGTGCTTGAGGCCCTCGTCTGACAGAATCCTCTGACTGGGGCAGTAAGTCAGGAATCTGGAAAAGGAGCGGAGAGTGATGGACTTGATGGAAACGCTAATGTACTTATGAGACGTTTCATTCAAGAAACACAAGCAGCACAGATGGTTTACTTATTGTGGGAGGGTTTAATGCCGAGGCTGAACCTTTGGTGTGTTATTTAGTGGTTGATGTCATTATTCTGTATATATAGTCTTAGTAAATGATGTAACATTTATGTGCTGCTTCTTCCATCTAAGAAACTGGTTGGGATTATATAATCAGACAAAAACCACAGGAGTGTTTGGTTGTTTACAGAGGGATCGCCAGGAGGAGAAGAACTAAAACATACTGAATATATTTGTGAGCTTTACTCCATTTTTAGTTATGCTCCAAACTGCCTGTTGCTGTCTCATTTTATTTTGTGATAAATAAAAATATAAAATAAATGCTAACTGATTGGTCCGTTACTGAATTGTTTTATTATTCGTCAGTCCATGAACTGTACACAGTAATTTCATGTGTCAGCTTCTAGCAGCAGAAGCTCAGCTACAGACAAACATGTGTCACTAAAGACACATAATTACAATATTAAAAAAGCAAAAAAGCTTCCTTTTTTTTAACAGTCATGGTAATGAAATTTCTGTCTACAATAACAAAATCATCCCACATGTGACAAAGTTTTCTTTACAGCTCATTTTTGAAGCCTCTTTTATATATAAACTACAAATCCTAAGTAATCACGTTCCACTGAAAGAGATGCAACACAGTGACTAATACTAAATATGACCATTAGTCTATTTTCCATGAGCATGGTCAACATGTGGTCAAAATAGCAATTCTTTTGCTACCAAGTCAGTTATTACTTAAAAAAAAACTATGCTGTCTTTGCGCAAGCCTGTTACACTACTGGCGCTAATAAGAGAATGTAAACAGACACTGGAGGCCCACGCTGTTATCTGAGGAAGATAAGCTACTTGTGTCTAAATTATAGTTTGCTTTGAATGTCCAGGAATGTGTGCTTCTTCCTGTGTCTGTGATTACTCCTCCAAAGGCCTGTCGAGGGTAATCAGGAGACAGAGAAGTTTTGACACCAAGAAAACTGAGGGAGTAGAACTTTGTAGAACTTTGAGCTTTGTTAAGATAGAACAACACTAATACCATTACCTCCCACAACCTGTGTTATGGCTACAAATATTGCTCTTCCCTAAGTTTGAAGAAGAAAAAAATAAAAAAGAGAATTAAAAGAAAACTGTGGGGGCAGTGGAAGAGTTGCTTTCACCTTCAAACACTGGTCTGGTGTGATAGTCCAAACAACTCTGTTATATTCACCTGCCAACCTAAATCTTTGGACCTTTATTATACTGCTCAGACTGCAGGATTTAAAGGAGGTCTAAGGTGTTGACCTTCTGCTGTCTGACTCGGCCCCTGACTAAACGCTTCATGACTTCTGACAGCTGGAAGGCTTCAGTGAGGCTGGCCACCTGCCAAACTTCCACTGAACCCAAATCCCTCTCACAACACAGCCAACATGTTGTTACCATCCTCAGCAACTGGGAGGTGAGGCCAGCCGTACGGTTTTGTCGTTTGCAGGTGTAGGCAAACGTCTCTGTGGGTGGGTGAGGTTCTGAGAAGGAGTGGAGAAAATGTGTCTCTGCTCCCTGTGAAGGCTCAACAATGCTGATGAGTGGAATGTGCAATGAGTTATGGACCTATCACTGTCTGTGCGAAAAGAGGATTTTCCGCATTAAACCTGTGTTTTCTACAACATTTTCCTGCAGAGTGGAGCATCACCATGGTGAGCCTGCATGTATGAGTGGGAGAATCAGAACAGGGGGATGGAACGGGCCTGTTGCTGAGGTATTCTGATGTATTACCATTCCACTACTGCTGTCATGTTCTAAGTCCACTTGCCAGGAAATGCACTGACTAAATAAGGAGATCTGGAAAGAATAACTGAATTTGACAGAGAATTATGTCCATTCGAGTTGAGCCGTTTCCACTGTAGGTGTGAAGCTGATCTGTTACTGATATAAGCGTCTGACCCCTGAGCCACATCCGTTTTTCTTTATATTTACACCTTTTGTTTGTTTGGTAACTGCGGATACTAACTGCTTATGTGGATTTTTTTCTTAAATTTAAAAAAAATTGAGTGGCTCAACAGTCCTTGATCACAGTTGATCGATTCTCCTCTTTACGAAGTGACAGATATTTTTAACAGGAGACAGATGTGAACTGCAGGCAGACTTGTCAAGGACACACACTGCGTCTACTAAGCCACACGTTTCATAATTTGTGCAGAGTGACACACAGCCAGAAAATACATGGACCAGAGCACATGTCTCTCTAAGGACAGACATATTCTTCTGCATGCATTTTCAAATTTGTTTGATTTACACACTGCCTGTAAATGAAGAATGGAGTGAATCGCCACATCTATTCTTTTTAGTTCCTAAAGAATTTACAGACATGCATCATTTTTTTCTGGTTATGAGTTTGAATATGAAATGAAGACTTTGACACCAGTTAGAAATCTCTTAACTTTTCAAACACGAGGTGTCTTTGAAAAATAGATCATTTAAAATACAGTAACAAAAAGAAGTAGAGTAAAGAAATAGTTCCATGTCACACAGGACCATGACAGTTTTTAGAAATCCTACTTGTTCATAAGGTCGAAGCCCTGGTCTGAGAGCAGTGCTCCAAATCGCTTTCGCAGGTTGTTGTATGGAAACTCGTTGAAATTCATCTTTTTCACAGCAGGCAGCTCGTTGTAGCCAGGCCAGATCTTCTCACTAGGAGTTCCCAAATCCTACAGGTGAATAAGAAGTGAACAGACACAATGTTATTGCTAGAACATGTGCATTTGAGATTTCTTTTAGGCAAGTGTTTCTTTTGACCAGGGACATTTTGCAATGGATGAATGTTTCAGTACTTCAACAGAACACCTGCGCAGGATGTTGAGGGAAGTGACATCAGTCAGTGCACTGCTGTAAAGCTTTAGCTGGATCATTTAGGAAAGGAAGAAAGGAACGTGAACTACTCGTAACACAGCACACCACTGCACAACAAAATTTGAACTCTGCTTTTAAACAATCACAAAATTGAGCAGGTGGAGCAATGTGTGGGGACAGTAGCATGCTCAGACCACCTTAGTGGTAACTTGGCAGCTGGTGGCCCACTGGCTGCTTCCTTAAGTGCCAAGCCACCACTGCCCTATCTGTTGAGTGTTATCCCTCTCTCTAGCCATACAGTTGTATTTCTACCTTCACCATTAATACTCTTACACTTTTTTTCCAGTGTTGTCTCACCACTGATCAGGTGCAATTTCTATCAAATTTGTTTCTAACATTTAGGAGGGTTTGTACTAAGGCCAGTCGTTCAGTACACATTTCACCCTCCATCAATTTCTCTGGCTGATCTGACATCAAACAACAGCTCCCTACTGTGGCACACTGCAAAACTGCAGCTATGTCGGCAGTGTTTAAAGGCGGTTCAGTTAAGAGTGTAATAGTGAGCTCGTGTTTATTTATTGAGTAAAAATAAATTCAGCACAATTACCTTAAAGATCTTCTGTATTTGGTCCAATTCAGATTTCCCAGGGAAAAGAGGTTTCTGGGTCAGGAGCTCGCCAAAAATGCAGCCCACTGACCACATGTCCACAGCTGTGGAGTATTCCTGCGGGGCGAAGAACAAACAGCAAAAGAGAGAAGTCATTGTTTCTGGCAGCGCTCTTAGGTTGAGGTCGACTTGGGTTTGTTCATGGTTGTGCACTGACAGAATGATAGACCTCTGTGGCTAGGTTCTGTAACTTATACTTTAATAGTACTGATTATGTTACACTACTGGATATGTTGCTTCCTTTTATACCAAGATAAGGTATATTACCACTTCAAAATACAGAATATGAGAATCAAATAAAATGATTTAACAACACTTATCGTGCAAATTTAATTCACAACCTATGAATTTACTAAAGCTGTGCAATATAGAGAAGTGGTGTGGGGTTGAATTCTAACCTTGGCGCCAAGCAGCAGCTCTGGTGAGCGGTACCACAGTGTGACAACTACAGGGGTGTATGGCTTCAGGGGTGAACCATACTCACGGGCCAAACCAAAGTCACCAACCTGTAATAAAAAGAAGAGGATCAATACTGTAGGACTTCAAAAGTTCATTCATTTTTCAATATTATAACCCATTTCACATAATCTGTCGTAGCATCACAAATGTGTCATCTTAAATCTAAGAGAGTGAATTTTCCTTGCTGGTTTCGTCACCTCACATAAAATTAACTGAGACAAACGTCTGCACAGCCCTGGTTTATTTAGGCACAGGCCGAGTCTGTCAGACGTTTTGCCAGAGGTTTACGCTCTAATTGACTTTAAATAATCATGTGCTGTTTGTGCAAGTGTGCTTTGGTGCTGCTGGCTTGTGGAAAAGTTGTACATCATTGAAAGATTGACTAAAGGGAAAACTTGCGAGTTTGTGTGTAATCCACTGAACAAGACAAAATAGATTTTAATAGATTATGTACCATTGTGTATTTAGCGTTATACAATGCCATTTTTTTAATGGCAAAACGTAAAAAACATAAATGTATCATATAAATGAATGAAGTGGTTTTAATATTATTCTTTTACCACATAATATGTGCCAAATACTGCAGGTGTGGGGCTTTGTTGAACAAAATTTGTCTTATTGTCCTATTTGAGCTTTCCATGAATTATAATGATGAAGCTGAGAAAGACTTTTTTTGTACTAAATAATTAGGTTTCTGTAAACCTAAAAGGTTAGAGCTGAGCAGCAATTCAACAACAGTATAATTCCTTCACATATCTGTACATTCTCAGTGGAAGTTTCAAGTGTGGCTGTAGCCAAGCAGTCGAAGGACACAACACAGAATTAAGAATTTCAAAAGCCTCCTCTGGAAAAAAAGTTTCTTGGTAATAAATAAATAAATAAATAAATAAATAAAGGCGATAAAAAGAGAAAGGATGAAATGGTACAAGAAAAGTAACATTGTTTAAAGCCTGTTGTGGTGGAGTGTATTCACTCAGATGTATAAAATATCTGGTCTAACTGGACCAGTGTCAGTGGGGTCTTGCTGTGTGGGACCACAGAGAACTGCAGTGCGGGCATACCTTCAGGATGCCCTTGTGGCTCAGCAGCAGATTAGACGTCTTCAGATCTCGATGCAGGATCCAGTTGTCGTGGAGATGACGGACTCCGCGGAGGAGCTGAATCATCAGAGTCTTTACTTCACCTTAAAGACAAAATTCCACCATCCATTCATCATTGTTCTAACACAGTAAATACATATAGAGTAGACACACAGTAACAGATGTGAAACACAGACATCACCCTGCTGGTATTTGTCAGTTTCAGTGACATACAGATACATCTACAGCCAAAATGTGATTAATCAGATCAAATATTTAAATAATTTCACAACAGAACTTATTAGACAGCTGTAGAAATAAGGCAAGGCTTGGCAACAATTATAATAATAACAATAATCACCTGGCAAGAAAGGCTGCTTCATGGTTTCCATCAGACTCTTTAGGTCGTGTTCTACGTAGTTCATCACGATGTAGATCTTGTCCATGTTGCTTCCAACAACAATTTCCTGAAAAGTGAAAAGAGGAAAAGTTAATAACGCAAGAGATTAACCAAGGAACAACAGGAATAAAATACAGTTATCCTTCAAAGACAGACTCACCCTGACTGTGACAATGTTTGGGTGTTGAGCTTTCAGAATAGTATTGATTTCTCTTAAAGAGGTGATAGGAAAACCCTCCTTTTCCTTCTCCATCTTCAGCCTCTTCAGTGCTACAATTTCATCTGCAAATCAAGACATGTACTGTAACATCAGCCAACAGCCTCCTAATGTTCAACTTGTTTAATTTCGTACCTGTTTTTTTGTCCTTGGCTCTGTAAACCACACCGTAGGTTCCTTCCTCTATTCTGTTCAGACACTGAAATTCCTCAACACTGCGACAACCCTGAAAAGGATTAAATAAAACAGCAACAATTAAACTGACAGAGAGCCACATCACACCACTGATATGCAACATGTAGCCACATTATGTGCACTATTTATGTTTTAGTCATTTGTAATGAGGTAAATGTGTGCGAGTAAGTAACTAACCTGTAAACCTGGCAGATATTTGGGCAGTTCTTTCTTTAACTCCACAGGTGAAATTGGAGGAGAATCCGGTATGTAGTTCTCTTCAGGGGTCGGTGTATTGGAGTGGGTCTGAGACTGAGGCGTGACATCTACCTCTCCTGCATCTCCATCTTCATCTTCTTCATCTTCCATTTCTTCACCACTCTCCTCCGTGTCATGGTCAAAACGAGACTCAGGAACTGTGGGGAGAATGGAAAAGACTTCAACATTCAAAATTAAAAAATGATCTGATGATTTATTTATCCTTGATTAGATTGTGCTGTATAGATAAGCATGAAAAGTCTGTGTATGTAAATGTTAAAAAGGCAACCTCACTTATGACATTGCAGGGTTTCCTGGATTTTTCTGTTGCTACTTAAATATTGCAGTCACTGCTACAGAATTGAGGCATGCACACGACAATAGTCCACCAGCTAGCATTACTTAAACCTTGTCTGTGGAAAAAATATTGTACTGCAACAGGGTCATGTTTTTGACCCGCCAACCCTGCTTAAAAAGGGGGAAATACTTTTTATCAACTCTCTTAGCTTAAAGGTTAAGGAAAGACGAAAAGACAATTTGTCTTAATGTAGGTTTACAACAAATGACAAACTAAAATTAGATTAATTGCTCCTTTCATCTTTCACCTCTGTAGTAATGTATGTATGTCAAGTATGAACATCTGTATTGTGTTTTTCCATATTTATTACAATTCTTTTTAGTACAGTGGTACACTAACCTGCAGGTATATGATTTCCATTTTCCCTCTCTTCGTCAAACTCTTCCTCCGATTGCTCATCTTCACTTATATCCTCTATAAAAAAAGGAAGTGCCTTTCTTTATGTGTAGTTGACAGGAAACACTAACCGTTAGTGTGGCAGATTTTAGTTTTACCTGCACTCTGCTCAGACCGTGCTGAGCCTGACACAGAGTCGTCTTCCTCCTCATCATCTTCCTCTCCTTCTCCACCCTCACTCTGGCTGCTGGACTCTTCTTCCTCTTCACCTTCATCCTCCTCTTCAGAGCCTGAACCTGACGCTGGAAGAACACAAAATAAATAAAATCAAATGAATGACTTTTCATTGTGTTTTTGTCATTCCTGTGCTGCAACTTTTTTCCCCACAAAATCATTTATATGTCATTTCTCTTGCATCAAGTTCTGTCCACGGAAATGTTGCCTGGTCGCTTAGGAATTGGAGATATAGCCGGTTGGACAGAAAAATTCTAAGATGATTTTTTTTAATTACCTAACGAGGATTCTGCAGAACTGGTCTTTCTCTCACTGTCACTGATATCCTGAAGGTCTGCAAGCAGGTCCTTGGTATCTGGCTTTTCCTCTAGAAATGCTATGGACAAATAGCAAAAAAAAAAAAACTCAAAATGAAAACTTTGGTCAGCTCAAAAGGATTATTGTATATGTAGAAAAGACACATGCAGAAAAGCTCACGGGCAGTTTTACGTTGCTCAGTGTGCTCAGATCTTTCTCTAGGAACACGGACAGGACTGCGGCTGCGGTGACTTTGTTTTGTCTTTTCACCATACTCATCAGGAAGCATGCGGTGATGGGAAGGCTCTGTGCCAAGAAACATTAATTATTTGTGTCTATTGGTTTTAATTCACACATATCTTCATCAATGTATTGGAGGATCAAGCTGTAAGTTCAGCTTTACATAAATTGACAGCAAAAGGATACTGCTCATGAGGGCAAAGTGAAACGCATCTGTTGTCATTAATTAATGCCTAAATTTATAAACTGACCATCTCGTCGAGATACTCTTTCTTTGCGACGTTCTTCATTTCTCCTCTCTCTTTCCTTCAAATCTCGGTGCTCTTTCTGCTGTTCTCGCAGCTTTCGATCACGCTCACGTTGTCGCTCTGCCTGCTCTAAACGCTCTCTGTGGTTTGACAACAAAAAATAATCGCTTTTTCAAAAAGTTTGGCCATGAGGAGGGACTTGTCTGCACCACGATACTTATCTGTAGTAATCAGAGATTCTTACACTAACCTCTCTCTTCGTGAATGAGCTCTGGCATCTTCCCTTCGTTTCTGTCTCTCCCACTCTCGCCTTGCTTTGTCTTCCTCCCACTGACGTTTCCTGCGATCACTCTCTCGCTCTTTTTCTTTTTCTTTGGGTCGTGACCTTTTCCCTGCCAGAAAAGAACAATTAATCAAACTACTGTATCACCTAGGTACAATTCAAAGCACACATCTGTGATCATTAGCTGCCTATCCATACCTCCATCATCAGAATGACTGCGATGGCGTCTTTTATCTTTTCGCTTCTCCTCCTTTCTGTTGTGAGATTTGTCTTTCCGTGCAATTAGCTGTGGAGGCTTGATTGCTAAGGATTCATCCTCCTCACCTCTGTTAATCAAAAAAAGTGTTTGACTTAAGGTACTTAAGGTCATGGTTACTTAAGGACATTCAACAGATGTATACATACAGAATGGTCTCACAATGTGCCTGACAATAAACACCTTGAATCTTATTGGTTCTTTAAAATGTCTTAGTACCTGTCCTCTGTTGAGTCTTGCCTTGTGTAAGGGGAATTACGAATTGTTATTTCCATTCTTGGATCACGAAGTTCTCCCTCTTCCGGAGTATCTCGTTTTGAATCCCGATCATCCGCCTGTGGGACAAGGCTTTCAGAGTGCTGGAAGAGGAAAATGAAAACATATCGTGAATGAAAGTGTTAGAATAAGTTTATTTATTTTAACATTTATTTTAATATATAGAGACTAGTGGTGAGAGTTTGAATGATTTATATCCAGGACATTTGGCCAGCTGCAAAAGATATAATCAGTCCAATTTTTCTAAACCAAACAACATGCCCTTTCATATAACTATGTCATGATGTTAAACACAACGTTTGTCATTTGAAAATTACATTTACGGTGAAATACTTTACATTTTTCGGGGGCTTGGTGTCTGTTCTCTCTTCTTGTTCGCGTCTGCGTTTTTTCTCAAGTAGAATCTCATCCAGAGTTTTTACTTTCCAAGTGTCCTTTTCGTCCCCCATCAGCGTCCACTCTGCGCCACCTGGTGTCCACACACAAAATATACAATTATTTTATACAGCATTTTATTTAAACACAATATTTAGATTCAGATGACTTCGCATAGTACATCCTACGAAACTACAATGTAACTTGCGTGTGACTTCTACAAAATAATCTGAATGGTTAAATTAAAATTTTAACTTGTGCATATCCTAACTTGGGACATATTTCTAACTGAATATTTAGGTGCACAGAGTTGTTATTAAAATCATGCCACATGGCAAGGTCGGGTGTTGACGTTTAGCTGTCGTATAGAAAAACAGACGGGACATTCAGGACACCCAAAAACTCGTCAGCGTTGTAAACGAAAAAACAATTCACACGTACAGTCATTATAAAGTATAACTGTAAAGCCATTTCTCATTACATAGTAACTCAATGTACCGTTCAGGGAAGCGTGATGCTAACGCAGTAGCTCCGCGGCAATAGCTAGCAAAACAAGCGCGGCCCTAAAACAACGTTCACGGCTAAGTGGATTAATTCAAAATGAGTATATGTAAGTGGAAAACGGAAAAGAACTATAAAACGAGTAGCCTAAGTCAAACACGAATATTAAAATACATATAATACGAGGTTAATAAATGTCCAGAATGTTATAACAAACCTTTTGTACGCGCAGCGCTGTTATGAGCACACCGGAAGCAAGACAGTCAACAGAGCTAAGCCAAAAACAACGTTTTGGCAACATTGCCGCCCACTGGTGTGGAGAGTAGGCTACGGCTTGCATTTTTGAGAGTTGAGTTGATGTTGACGAGACACTCTTCAACTCGCTTGCAATAGTTTTACTGAAAGTAATTTACTCTTCTATAGAATACAACACTACAGATGGGACCACTGATCGTCCTTTTGTTTTATTTTACTATATATTTACCTCATTAACACTTCATACACAACATGGGCCTCAGATGCAAAGTTTAAATTTACAAATCCACACAATATCTTTTAGTGATCCCTGGTTGTTTCCTCATGAGTCCGTTGACAATATGAAAACATGATTTGTTTCAGTGTTTGTACACACAGTAATTTTAAAATGCCCATTGAATTCTCAATTCATTAAGCCTAGGGTGAAGCACCATTGCTGCCTAACCAAGACTACCAGATTTGACATTGTGTAACAAAGATAATCCTGGGGAGGTTAGGTTATACAAAAGTTTGCTTAGGTAATCCAAATAATGTATTTATTTTGTCACGTACACAGGATATGCAAGGACGGCTACAATACTTAAGCCTGAATTGCTCTTTATCAGTGTGTAACAGTCATATCAGGATGTAAAAGACTTACAGCGCAGCCCGTGAATTTATAACAGGATGACCTTAGTAAACACAAAGATTGGGGTCAAGGTTTCAAGAGTTGTAGGCTTGTCAGTCTCAGTTGTGTCTTTAAAAGTGCCGCAAGCCAGAGCTTCATGGACGGAGTGTTTACCACCACTGACTCAGGTGAGCATAGATTTTATTTTTACTGGTTTCTTGTCGGAAATACAATTGTTAAATCACTGATTGTTGAATCTCATTATCAAAAGTCACATGTTTTTTTTCAAACAGATTAACTGATTGCTTAGAATTATACTTCAAGCAAGATTTCAAATCACATAGACAAAAAATGCATTAAGTTCTGTGTGTTTTGAGAGGTAATCAAGTTGTTACTCATTAACAACACTTTGTCCTCACTTTGTCAGAGTGTGCAAGACTCCGTGTGTCCCGGCTGAGCAGTAAAACTGTGGATAAACAGTAAGATCTTTCCTCATGGAGCCCAGCAATACTCCCAATGTCCAGTATGACCGCTGGAATGAAGACAATATCAACATGGATGTAGATGCATCCCAGTCTACTATGACAAGGTGAGAACCATACAGCAGAGTTGATAAATTGATCATAATTAATAATTCAAAATGATCTAAGAGCCAAATGCATAGCCCATGACAATTTTGCTGTGATGAAGTCAATATGTTGCATGAACCACACTTATTGCAATATAATTGCATTTGTAAACATAAAAACCAAAGAATTTAAAAGATAACTTGCAACAGTGAAAAGTCGAATAATAAAATACATTTTTTTGTAAAATTAAGAACAACAGCAACAACATATAAAGGTCAGCTAAAGTTTAGATGATCAATACAGTATAAATGTCAAAATATGTGAAAGAATACTAAGTATTACATACACAGAAGTATTAAAAGTTCTTAATAACAGCTCAGCTTACAAAATGATTTTGAAAATATTTCTCCAATTTAAATAAAGCACAAGATTAAACATGAAAGTAAATCTATAATCTTTATTCAGGAAAAAAAAAGACAAAATGGTCCAAACAGCAAAATAGACTAATGCTAATGATATCAGACACCACGAACCAGATGTATAAGGATTTAAACCAAGTACTGGCATTTGTCACAATGAAACTAATGCATTGTTAAATATTAATTTATGTCACAAGACCAACAACATACCATTATCAGTCACATACCTTAATGCTACAAAATGTTAGAAAAGCACTGTTTAAGTTTTATACTCTTTAACCTTGATTTCCTTCTTTCCTGACAGACTCTACAATAGGATGTGTGTGGGCAGCACTGGGATTGCAATGAAAACAGTAGGAGCACTGGTTGCACTGGTTTTCATCTACATCCTAGGATATACCACAGGATATTATGCCCACAGGTGCAGCTAAAGAAGTTGTTGGAGAACCATCCGTCCAAGAAATGCCTGTTGATTTCATGCCAGAAATAGCATAAATCTGAGATTTTTGTTAAAATACAGCAGTTATATTTCCCCAGTTCATTCTGTTAAAGTTTCTTTTACTGATGTTTTCCAATTGTTTTGTTATGCTAAACACCTGGAAGTTGTGTGAACACTATTCTTTTTGGCAATAAAATTAAAATGCTATCCATCCATCCATCCATTTTCATCCACTTATCCGTTACCGGGTTGCGGGGGCAGCAGTCGCCACCCAAATCACATTGCACCGTACCTAAACCTTCCTGCGGGTGGTGAGTCCACTGGAAGGTATTAACCGCCCTAACCGGGATTCGAACTTGTCCAGGAGGTGAACCCTGGGGTTCCACACCAATGACAGAGACATTGCCTCTGGGCCAAAGCGCCACTAAAATGCTATAGTTATGGAAAAGATTTGAGCACATATTTTAAAGTATATAAGAACTGTTTGTTATGTTAGAGCATACATGTCAAACTCAAGGCCCGGGGGCCAAATGTGGCCCGCCAAGCCGTTTTGTGTGGCCCGCGGGAGCTTAACCTGGGAAATTAAAAGCTTTTTTTATTACATCTTTTTTTTTAATTGATCATCTTTAAATAAAGAAAGTAAATGGATATGACTGGACTTTTTCTTTGAATGAAGTAAATTAGTAAAAATTAAGTTATTTCCCACTGCAGCCTAGACCGGGCGTTGGGGACCTCTGATCTATACAGTCTTCCATTTACAACCGGCCCTTCAAGTGGAACTGTATTGCTGATGTGGCCCCCTGGTGGAAATGAGTTCGACACCCCTGTGTTAGAGTATCTGTGACTCACCTTGAGGAAATATGATGTAGTAAAATGTTTCGTATACAGGAAGGGAACAGTGGTAGCGACTGTGATTAAGGTCAATAAAACAGAGGAAATTGCTCCAGTTCTGTGATGAGTGGGGACAACAGTCCAGGGGACACACACTAAAAATGTTTCCATCAGGTGTACTCTTAAATGGGTGACTTCATGGCACAACATCACTGTTTAATAATTAATCAAATAAATTCAGCCCAAGAACAGTGATAGGCCCATCATATGTACTAAATGCGACAAAAACTGAACTTTTCCTGCAACATAGAAAAACTGAGGTGTTTTTCATAACACTTTTGCAAGTATAAGTCAATGCAGTGTAACAATTAATACCCATAATGCAACTGTAACGCAAAACAACATTGCAAATCTTAAAATTGAAAATTTACTATTTTTAAATAATATCTTGGGAGGGGGGGTATGGTCTGGTTCAGAACCAAATTCAAACACAAACATTTATTGAATTTTAAATAGTTTTTTAATCATTTTGCTGATGTCAGCATTGGGACTCACCTGTGCATGAAACAAACTGCAACAAATTCAAGTGCCTAAAAGTGATTGTTTTTCAAAATAAAATACAATTTAGACTAACACAAAAAAGAAGAAAAAGAAGAAAATTTTGTTCTTTCTATGCAACCCCTACCAAAGTATCCAAGGTAATAATGGCAATAATCCAAGTGGTTGACACCTATTATATATATTTGAATCTTTAATTGATATAAACTCAAACTGTACATACATTCTCAGAGTTTAAAAACTACTGTATGGGCTACATGAGATCCATTACAATAAATAAATTATAATAAAGTTCTCATAAATGTTGGAATCAGGCATTTTATATTCTTATTATATAAAAACACAGACTGTATTGACCTCAACCCTTTTTGCTTCAAACCAAACACCAAGAGTTCATTCACTTTACTGAAAATCTGCTAAATTGTTAATGTCTGTCTTCATCAAGATCAAGGAACAGCTGACATGCTTTTCTCAGGTCTTTGGGTACATCATCACCATTATTTCCACCTGTCTTGGATGGCTTATCTTAATACAATTATGACACTGAAGGAAGAAGATAAAACTCCGGTAGCAATAAACAGACATTTCCTCAGTTCGAGGTCCTCAATCTTGGCATCGTCTTTTGGCTTAATTTACTCTTTTAAAGAAACACTGCACAGTTGTTAATCCTTGGTTAAGCAAATAACAATTTCATGATGCAGGGCAAATAAATCTATAATTCCTTAGGGTAATGACTTTTTCAGACAGAGATGGAGTTCTAGATATAGTCTGACTGCTGATTCCTTTGAGATGACATCATGAATCCAGCCAGCCCTGTACCTAAATTAGGACTGACACAACATTGCAGTGTCACCTGGTGTCACCACATGAGTATGCAAGTGTTAGAAGCATCGTCACTAAAAGCAAAAGTGAATTTGGTGATGTGGGAACTACAGTAACTGTTTTTTTCTCAAAGTTCATAGTTCTAGCAAACCACAAGGTACATAAGGTACATGTTAATAATAATCATCTAAAACAGCCTGTTGCCAGGGTTGTTGTAGTTCGTTTTTATTTCATCACAAAATGCTACAATTTTTCTTCCCATCTGTCTACCCATCTGTCGCTGAATTTCCTGCGTCTGCCAATGCCTTGTACCAACCTCACAACAATGTTGTGAACCAAAGAATATATGTATATATATATGCATTTTCTAATCCTTTTTAAGTGATGATATGTTGATATGTCCATACGGAGTGTCAAGTATTTATATCAAAAAAACAACTATCTAACAAAATTATTCCATGTGCACAACCTAGCTCCATCCGTAAGAAGGCAGAATGCTGCGGGGAATCCGTCAATGTGATGTCACAGCCGGCAGAGAGGCGGGTCGAGAGCAGGAGGAGCACCAGCAGGAGCCCCGGACGATCTACTACCGCCCTCGTCCTACTCCTTCACAGCGTGTGTGCAAAATGAAACATGGATGAGGAGCTCGCCGAAAGTTGGGAAGAAGCTGCTGACAGTGGGGTAATAACTCATTTATGATATGAATGAATTTAAATTGTTTTAAATTTAATACGCTTTGATGTCATATTTAACGTTAAACGATTATTTTAAAAAGTTTTCGTTAACATTTTTTTCCGCGTGAACAACTGCTGTGGGCCAACAATGTGGCTAATGCTAATTGCTAGCGTTAAGAAACTTGTAGAGCCAACCCCTAGCGGCTAATGAACAGTTTGGTGTAAAGTGAATTAGCAAACGTCGTGTTTTAAATAAAATAATTTACGAAGGTGTATATCGATTAGTAAATTATTACAAAACATACGAACTGAAACCACTGCTCCAGCTAATTTCAATGCTAAGGTTGACGTTAACCAATGCTAAGCTAATTGCTACATGGCAAATATTGTTAAAATAATAATAACAATTTATTTACGAACTTGTTTTCGTGTTTTGTTTTAATATTTCAACTATGTTAGATACATTTTACTCAGATACTCACTAAAATGGCATATCAATAAAAGCTGTAACTTTGAACACTTCATTCTTACAAGACAGATTAGCATCTTATTACGAACGAAGTCTCAGTGCCTTAATCAGTTCCAAAAACTGACTTAACTTTTTCAGAATTAACTGACTTACATCTTCCAGACATTTTTTAAAATTTATTATACGGGATCCGGGTGTTATTTATTCACTCAGTTGTTGGGTAATTAGTAGTAAAAGTGCGTGTCAAATTAACTTAGAGTTATGTTAGGGTACGCGGTAAAATTACTGGTTGACACTATTTGACCTATTTCACAATCTTCGAATTGAGCGTTAAAATTGACAAATTTTTCGGAATTGGGTTTCCACATCAATGAAGCACGGTGTCAGACCATCTGTAGCTCCTGACGTAAAGGACGTGGCCCAGGGGGTTACGTTCACTCTGACGTCACCGGGACAGACGACTACAAAATTTTTACCACCATTTTTCAGCGTCTAATGCTGTTAAAATCAATTAATTTTGAAATCGTGTTAAAAGCGCTGAATTTAACATCTGCCCACCAGTGTTGGCTTTCTGCACTCAGTCCCTGTTATGACTTGGCAGCTCCTGTACATGTATAAATAGCATGTAACTGAACCTGCCTTTGCACCCACCCTTTTGCTTGCTCAATGCCTGCCCTGCTTTCATTCCCATTCATCACTGACATGAGCAAAGTTGTATGTTTACATGATGACATGTGTGCCTTTCTTCTTCCCCTTCACAGGACATGGAAAAGCGGTTAGAAGAAAAGCTAAAACTCTGCCACAGAGAAAAGTAAGTCTTGAAATAAGGCTTTTGCACTAACAAAACTACTTTTTGGATTTAAAGTAGTACAATATTCCTTGAATTTAAGTGGAAAACCAAAAAAAACAAAAAAAAAACACTGGAAAATATTTAGTATTAAGTTGTTCAACTAATTGCATTTTTTTCCATCTAGGGAATCCAGCAACAATTCATCACATTCTCCTCTAAGGACAGCCATGGTAATCCAGGACGATTCTCTCCCAGCAGCACCTCCACCACAGATACGCATTTTGAAACGCCCCACAAGTAACGGGTCACTAGGATCACCTATGAATCAGACAAGGCCAACGCCACAGGTCAAGTCTCTGGCTCAGCGTGAGGCAGAATATGCTGAGGCTAGGAAAAGAATACTGGGTAGTGCCTGCCCAGAAGAGACGTCTCAGGAAAAGCCCAGTGTGGACAGGTAATTATTATTTTTACACGGGATCTGGTTGGAGGTTTTATTTATGGTCTAAAACCTGGTTTATACCTTTTACGTTGAACCAGAAGTGGTGGTGTTTATGCCAGAAATAACATCATCTAGTTTGCTTGCCTGACACAAGGGTGCTAAAAGTGGATACATTACTTAGTTGCCCTATCTGAAATGTTTTAACAGTGTGTGCTAATTTACCGAGTGATTTAAAGTTACACGGAAAGAATCACAATTATGTATGAACACAGAGTCAAATGTCACTATAATGTTTATGAACCAAACCAATAATGATACATTTAAAAAAGAGTTTTCCAAAAATGAATTTTCATAGTTTTTATAAAACAAAGCACTACAAAGACAAACGAAACACCCTGTCTGGGAGCAGTTGCTCAAAGGCGCTGGCAAACAAAACAAAATGTCTGATCATTAATTTTTCTGTCTTCTCGCCGACAGGCCAGGACGCAATAACGTTTCAGTGCCCTCGGAGGACACTCGATCATCCAATCATACTGTTCGACAGCCTGCCGGTCCAGATGGGAGCCACAGCTTCAGACAGCACAGATAAGTGGACCTTAGGGCCACTAAGTTGCGGAGAAGAGGACACATGCACTGTATTCTTAAATTTCCATCAGTTCCATTCTGTGAGAAGAACAGTGGGATTTATCACTGCTGCTCATCTCTGTCCACCAGCGGTTGCTTGGAACTGAAAGTCACCAAGGAACTCCAGGATGGAAGTCTGATGTGCTTCTTACCCCTCCTCAGTGTAGTCTCTTTGACACTGTGATTACTTTTATGGACATTTTCTGGATTCACTGTGATGATCCCTTTAAGACATGTCCATCACCTTTGCCTCTCTCCTCCACTAGTATCCAGAAGCTTCATCTAAGCATGCTCCAAAGATGGAAACAATGACTTTTTAAAAGGATAGCAGAGAAAGGAGGGAAATGGGGGTGAAGGTGATGGGCCAAAGTGAAAGATGAGCTGGTACTTGTGCAGCAGCAATAATACTACACATCAATTTTCACTTTTGCCACATTTTTAACTTTTCAGACTTTGGTTTGCTGGGTTTTTATCTTGTGGGGATGCTCTGATATCAAAAACATACTGTAGAAGTCCATTACCTGTTTATGGCAACAGTATTTTATATTAAAGGTTTTTAGTAGACCCAACATTTGATATAAAAATGGTACTTGATGAAAAACTGAGCTGGTGGCAGTATCAGCTCACCCCTCAAATGTGTTAATTGCCATGTTTTTAAAACAAGGGGAAAGGGTCGAATTGAATTTCAGACAAGTTTTGTTTACAGCTTCCTCTTATTCTCACAGTCATTGCAACCCTAAAATGAAAACATGGACTTAGGTGCATTTTCTAAGTAGCTTTTCTGCCTTTTTTGTATGAGATGGCAACAATGTAAGCAGTATTTTGAGTCATAAAATACCAATTGCCCTTTTTAACATCCACTTAGAAACATATCAGGTAAAAAGGATTACATTTGTTAAGGTATTGTCAAAAAGAGGTTCAGATGGAGGAATGAATTAACTGCTGTACTTCACATGCAGCTCAGCAGCATCTCGGCCTGGTCAGTGCCGTCATGCTCATCCGATCCTTCACTGATGTACAGTACAGTACGTTGGAACTCAGGTGCAAGTGAATGAGACTGGATGAATGAAATGTACGTAAGATTGTATTTTTCCAGCAGGTTTGAGTGTTGGTGTCAGTAAACTCAAGTTGGCACTTTGTTGGAACAGGAGTGTTAAATGAATAGGATCTATGTTCACATCCTGACATGAATGAGCGTTTTTCTTGTCTTAAATGTTGACATTGTGAGAGTGTAACATAACTCTCTTGTTGTTGTAGCTGATGGTGTTCACTCGGCTGCATGGAAACCAGAAAGGTAGCTTGTTTTTCCACATTTGTTTTAAGGATTCAAGATATTTTAAAGCCATATTCAGTGGTGCACATCACCAGTAAAGAAATACTTCTATCAATGTTTGAATTCAGCCTGTGCCTCCTGCATTACGTCTTCACTTTGCAATTGCAGTAAGTTACGAGGTTAAATTGACAAAACTGGTAGACTGATGTCACATCAGGAAATCCAGCAGGGCAACAAGGGGTAAATCTGAACTCGGAGAAAGAAAACAAACTGCCTGTAAATACTGATTACTGAATAAAATGATTTGCCAAAAAGTTTGTGTTTACCTTTTCCTCAATCTTTTAGTTTAATGATTTGGAGAATTAAGTATTGGTTAGAAATCTAATGGGTAGTAACAATAATAAGCAGAGGAAATTCAAAGTGTTAATTAGGCACTAAAACAACAGGCTGTAGAAGTCTCTTAAATCAGAGGCATCATCATGATCATGTCCAATTGTTGACTATCATCTATGGATGAATTTAAGCTGTTTGACCAGGAACCTTCACAGTCACCACTCAGTGGGCAAATTCTAACGAGGTCACTTTTTGTCAATGTGACATTTCATATCTCCCTCAACCATGACGACAAATAAAAAGAAACCCAGATAAATCTGTACTCACCATAGCTTAAATAAAATAAACTTTATTTTTTATAGGTAAATACTACTTTAAATATTTGGTCATGTTGACAGACGAATGTCCAATAAAAAGAAGCTATTCGATGCTAGGACAAGTGGATAACTGTGTGTTCTGTTGGATATAGTGTTTGACCAAGGGGTGGCCATGATGGAGAGTCAGAAACAAGGGTGTCCAGGAGTTTGTATTTTTTCTTTGAAGGACGTCTCCCACGTAGAAACCGAAGACAGTTAAGCATTCCTAAATCGATCAACACCTGGGTAAAAAAAATAAATAAAACATTGCTGTTAAGGATGGAGTTTAGTTGAACTCAGAGATCACACAGAGTGTATTTGAGTGTCAATTAAGAAAAAAAAAGTCTACAGAGACTTTGACACATCCTGCTCACCTCTATGACAAAACAAGCGAGGAAGTTCAGAGCAGCAACACCGACAAGCAGCATTTTGTAGTTCATGTCGGTGATATTGTACAACTTAAGTGTCGGACCAACAAGTGGACCAGGATACAACACCAGCCAGGTCACCACACCGAGCAGGATGATCACCAGACCGAAGAAAATGACTGGGAACAAAAAAGAGAAAATTAACTTTAGTGCTTAAGAGCCCTACATCTAGATAACTTTAATTATCCAAAGTCATTCTTAAGCATTTTCATTCATCCCAGAATGTAACATGTCTATATGACTATAATTACATACCTTTATCATTATCACACCTTAGAAGATAATATCACTCTTTTCTTCAACACTACCTTTTTGTTCTTACTAGAAAAGGTCCAGCAGTTACTGTTTACTTTTATACATTTTTTGGATTGCATACTGCTACTGGAATTTTATTTTCCCAGAAGGAATCTCCCAAATGTATCAATAAAGTTCATCTAATATAATCTAATATTTTAATATAATACCAGTTAAAACTTTTATTAACATACTTTTAAACTTGGTGATAACACCTTTATAATAATATATTATATACTGTATATGTATATGATATTTTTGGCAGAGATAATAAAATTAAGCAAATGAATTATTTCAAGTACGTAAACAAACCTGGATAAAGTGCAATAATAAACTTGGCTCACTAATGAAGTTCTATCACATATATTCTATTCTTTCACTAATAAACAGTACAATGTTGACTCACTGTTGTAGAACATAGGTTTTTTGTGAGGGTAACCCTTGGTGACCACCACGGCCAAGATGATGTACTGAAAAGCTGACAAGCTAAACACACTGGTGTTCTCCATGTTGGGCAAATTTTCCGCACCAAAAACTGTTGCATTCAGTGGAATGAACCTGAAATTCAAATTCGGAGCATATTAGGATGCATCAATAGTACATTTTTCAAACAGCAGGTGAATTAAAAAAAACATAATTCTTTGTAACATTTTAATTTTAAAATTAGTTTCTGCCTGCTGACCATTCCTTTGAGGAGGTGATATAAAGCGCAGACAGCTGGGCCAGGACGATCAAGCAGGTGTGGATGAAGAGGCCGCCCAAGACAGGCAGGGCCAGCAGGCTGGCTGGGGGTCTCTTTGTGTGCAGTTTGTCATTGGGGCCTCCTCGTCCCATAACGACAGCCAGGAATGTCACCAGGAAAATGTCAATGAACAGGAACTGCAGGTCACCCAAGGTTGTCTGTAACTGGACAAATATATCCACAAAACACAGAGGTCACTGTTGTGAGATCTTTGAGCAACAAAATAAAAGCAAGTCAACTGGACCTATTATTCAACAGTCTTTTGGTCTCTGGAACAAGAGTAGAAATCGTTCTCATCGACAGCCTTTCACAGACGCAATCTTGACTTTCATTGGGTCAGGATGTTTGCGTGTGGAAATATTAAACAGCACAGAATGAACCCAGTAGGTGGCAGCAATGCAACATAATAAAGATATTTTAATCTATATTTTATTGTTATTGGCCAGTAAGGCATGAATTAATTAACCACAAAAAATAATTAACTAAACAGACACAAACAACTGCTGGATTTATTTGTGAAAAGGATTTTAATTTAAGTTTGTCTTTCACTTTTATATGTCGCCTGGTGAGGCCCCCCTGCCCGCCCTGCCCCCGTGGTCTGGTGTTACTTACAGTGTACAAGATGTTGACAGAGCAAAACTGAATGAGGCTGTACATGGCCATGTACTTGAAAAGACTGAATGATGTGACCAGAGAACAACGGCCTTCTCTGAAAGACAAGAAGGAAAAACATATTGCTCACTCTTTGTGCATCAAAATATGAACTCCATTTTTTTTGCTGTACAGGACCTGGACATTTACGCTTTTATACTTCCTTCTCACCTGATGAGCAGTGGTACACAGCTGATGTTTTCAGTTCTGGAAGTGAAGGGTGAGGCAACAGAAGCCTCGGCTTCAGACAAGGAGACTCCAACATCAGCAGCTCTCAGCGCCCCGCAGTCATTGGCTCCATCTCCACACATACCCACTCGATAGCTGCAAAATATAAAAAGACGAGTTATTAATGCACATGTAGATGTACATCTGTGCAACTGTTGCAGTACTTTTAATTTGCCTTTTTTTCCCTGTCCTAACATGAAAAAAGACTAACTCCTCCAGGCAGCGTGGGAATGTTGTACGACAACATTCAATTGAAACAAGCTTTTAAAGTGAATCAGCAGCATGTGATGTCATTTGGCATTATAAGAATAAACCGGCATCAACTCACAACACCACCTGACACCACTACAAACATCCAATAAGATTTTTCTGATTCAATTTCACACAATCCAGGAGAATGACAGGATGATTTACAACAAACCACAAATTCAAGTGTTCAGCAGCAACACAACATGACATATGAACAGAGCTAAATAAAAGTAAAATCTCACTTTTAAGTTAACTTTTTAGATTTTCAATTATATATTAACCCAGTTGCATTGTCTATTTGTTCACTCACTTAAGTTTCTGCAGCTCTGTTACCAGCTGCGTTTTTTGGTCCGGAGACATTCGTGCAAATACTGTGGCTCGCATTAAAACCTGAAATGACATGACACTGACATGAGTGTGACAATCTGAACCTAAACATAGACTTGTTTAATCTAAGCACTTATATATATATATATATACGTATACATATGTATATATGTATATATATATACGTATACATATGTATATATGTATACGTATATATATATATATATATATATATTATATATATATATATATAGTAAATGTAGAGAGCTGATTTATGCAACAATAAAAAAATGTACTCAAAGAGCTTATGTTACCTTTGGCAAATAGTTGGGAAAGTAATCACAGAGGGCAGCAAAGGATTTTCCATTCAGGGCAAAGTGATAGATGTGATCATGTTGGTGCTGATTCAGAAACAAAAGACAAAATAAAAATAACAGCCACAGAAATTCTCAAAAGCTCATATGCTGGCAGATATTGATGCTAAAGAAAATGAGTTTAGCAAAAACACATACTCCGTTACTGATCTGTGTGGAGATGAGCGGCGATGATGATGTTTCCTCTCCTGGTGTGAACTTTATGGTTGGCAAAGAATTGGCAGTGTGAGGAGTGGCTGTGACGAATATTACCTTCTCATCTGCCCCCACCATCCCGCAACTTTTTGCCACACTTACTGCGGTTAAAATGTTGTCACCTGTGTGAAGAAGAAGAAGTAAACAGTACACACCAGTGCTATGCTCACACAACGAGAACCAAATGTGGTGATTACTTTTCATAATTAAGAATAGTAAGTAGCCTACCACAGCTGATTCTGTGTCTGGTTCAGTTAACTGCAGTTTGTATCAATCACATATTATTAGAATTCAGTTGTAGTCTCTCTCTCTGGAGCACTAAAGCACTTGCTTGCATTTTAGAGGTTTATTTTTGGAGAGTTCTAACACTTTTACTTTGCTTTTAGCCAGTTTGATTCCACAGAAGCAGCATCTCTACAAATTCAAGTCCTTGTCTGTTCTCTTACCAGTGACCATGATGTTGCGCAGTTTTGCCAGCCTCAACGTGTCGATAACACCTGCGCTCTCCGGCTTCACCTGGTTCTTCATTATGAGAAAGCCCAGGAACTGCATGCCTCTCTCTACCTCCTCTCTGTGGGCAGGTACAAAACTTTATTGTGAAGATACTGTAAGATATTTTTAAATACTATTATTTAGCTAATAATCTCAAGGCCTTAGGAATCTAGGTTTGTCAATAAAAAGCAAAATAATGAGAGGATTCTTACCTTTTGATGTTCTTTAAGTCAGTGTTGATTTCCAGGGGTTTATAGGCAAGTGCAAGAACCCTAAGGCCTTCACTGGAGAACACGCGCAGTTTGCTGGAAAACTGTGCAGGAACTAAACAGACATTTCAGTTCAGTTTATGCAAAATAATTAATCAAGTAATTCAGAATGACTACTTTACTGTTTCCTGTTAAAATGCCAAGTTCCAAAAATGCCACAAAGTGCTTTTATAAAAATATTGAAGTCAATGTCGTGCCTTCAGCATTCTCACCTGTTTCCACTTGACAGAGACTGGCCACCATCTCAGGAGATCCTTTGATGAAAGCGAAGGCTGAGCCACCTCCAACAGACACAGTGACTACACTCATTCTCTGAAGGGCGGAAGAGAAGGGAAACCTCTGCACGATGGCCACTGGCTCGCTGGAGGACTGATGACATGACGGACAAAAAAAAGAACAAGATGTGCATGACTTAAGAACATAGTTATTGCATATAAAATCTATGGTTTGGTTTAAAGACATCTTCTGCTCTTGGTGAGATTTTGTTAATAATAATGACAGGTTTGTAATTAAAAATTCGGCTATACCTTATATAAATTATGAAATAATTAAAGACTTCTGATGAGATGTTCATACTATCGGACACCAAGTTCTGGCTTTTTGAACAGATAATGCCGTCAAGTCGACATTGTGTGTAATAGGCAGCTGCACAGTCTAAAAGAAGCCTGGTAAGCTCACTCGTTCTCGGAATGATGCCAAGGACACTTACACTTTGATCTTGGTACTGTTTAGTAGGAGGTCTCATCACAGCCAGAACTTTATGGCCTCCAAACTCCTTATCCAACTCTTTGCCATTTCCCTCTGGTTCCTCTTGGGTCTACAAAATTATATATAAATTACATAGTATATTATATTACACAATAATGTCAAAATGTCAAGTCATTTAAATCTCTGGGAAGAAGTCAAATGTTAGCAAATTTTGATTTGATGTTGCCATGGGATTTAAGGTCAATGCTGACAAAGATGGGAGTCAATATTTAATATGTTAATATGTTGATACATTTTTTATTGGGAAATCAAGTTTCCAGGAACAGGTTTGCGTAGTTATTCAGTTAAGCTAAATTGTCAGTTTGCTAGCAATACTGTGACAACAGAAATGACCTGAATAACTATTTACAATATTCTAATCATTCTAAACATTGATAACAAGTACATTTGGATTATTAGAATTAAATGTCTCTCTTTCTGCTATTAACATTCTGTGTAAGTTTACACTTAAAAACATTAATACACTATATTTTCCATAAAATGGCTCAAAACTGATTAATATCACTGTTTCTAAATGATTGCTTAATTATTGTTGTCATGGAAACAAAAAAGCAACATAATACTTAATACACTCATACCCAACCAGTGGCCTCGACCATCTTCAGCTCCAATGGATCTCCAATGGGATGACCTCGTAGTATAGTCACGGTATGACAACAGGCCAGACCTGAAAGCATCGGCCCTGGGTCCAAAAGCTTAGGCTCTGCGACCAGCTCAGAAAAACCATCAGGACCCCCCTCGATTACTCCCCACACATCCAGACCATCCTCTGTTAGCGTTCCTGTCTGGAAAAGACAAAGGAACTCTCACAAAGAGCAGTTTTTCTGAAGTGAAGACTATAAAAAGTAAATCCTTTAATACTGCACACCCTAAGTTAACATATTTGTCTTTACCTTGTCAAAGCAGAAAACTGTGACCTTGCCAGAGACATTTATACGTGGAGGACTGATGCAAAAAACACCCATTTTTTTCAGTCTTTGCTGGGAGTAGATGGTGGCAGTGGTGATGGCAGCAGGCAGGGCAGGTGGCACCACAATAGTCACAACATCCAGGCACCTGATCACTAACTTTGGCAAAGGCACCTGGCCACACATAAAAGTCCAAAAACACAAATATTACTTATGGGTTTTGGCCATTTAACTTTAATGTCAAGCATTCATTATTTACAGTACAGGCTATTTTGTTGTACTTACATTTGCTCTGTAGAGGGTGACTATATTGTAAATGGTGCCTATTATTGCTGAAATGACAAAAGAAGAGATGTTTGTTGGTTTAGAGGTCTGAGGAATGTACCAGTCCCAAGCTGGTTGGTGAATGGCAATACAAATACAATACAAAGTGTATTCATTTATTGATAAGCCATTATACTGAATTCAACATATAAAGAAAGTATCAGCTACTGAAGCTCTTACCAATAACACCTAAGATCAGTAGGAATTTGATAGCATCTTGGTAGAAGCGGAAGTTAACCGGCTGAGGATACATAATGGAGCTGACCAGGTTACCTTTGGCTGTGAAAAACCCTTGAAAAAAAACCAAACCAGCCAACAAAGTTATTTTAAAGACAGAACTGACTCAGGTTTCATCCGAGTTACTTCTAGGTGTTTCTGCTCACCAGTACTGGTCACCACAGCAACGGCACCAGCACCTTCTGGTCCTCCGCCTTTGGCCTGAATGAGCTGGGTCCCACAGAAGAGAGTGTGTCTGCGCTCAGTCTCAGAGTTGTATTTTCCCTCACCATCTGGCAGTGGAGTTTTCAGCACTGGGACACTTTCACCTGGACTCAGATGCAGGTTAATATAGCAGGTTAGCAAATCGTTCATCCATCTATGTTTATTTGTTTTATTGGAGTTAATGTGCTAATAGTTGGAGTTTGTTCAAAGGTGTTAGCATAGGGTGTTGCCCACACAAAGGACAGGATACAACCTCTTGCAGCCTTGAGACAATTTTGATGTGTAATGATCACCTGTAAGCATACTCTCATTGACCAGACACTCCCCTGACAGCAGAGCGGCATCACAGGGCAGCACCAGGCCATCCTGAGGTATAAGGATACAGTCACCAGGGACCAGGTCGACTGAGTTCACCCGTTCCTCAGCTTTTAAAAAAAAGAAGAATATATATATATAGTATAAGAGAAATTGTGACCTACTAACATTATGATTGGGAATTTAAAATTTAAATGAATGTTGAAAAATGTGGCACCTCTTCTTTAAGATGTGCTTAACATTGACAACTGTACTCAGTGAATAACAGGAACTATTTAATGGTAGGTTCGCTCTTAAAATTACTGACTAGAAGCAACACCAAATAAAAAGCTGACCTGAAAGCTCGTAGATGAGAGATGTCTATTATGACAAAAAAGTATACTTAGTATGTACAGACAGACACTGACCTCCTGAGCTTCTGCGTATTGTAACAGTCGTAAGTGACATGGCCATGTTGTGAAGAATGATGCTTTGCTGTTGGGTAAAAAAAAAAACAAGGTTGAACTCCTATTATGGATATGAATTCACAAAACAAAACAAAAGAAAAAAATGAAATATTTCAAAGCGAACTCACCTTGCGTGTCTCATAAAGAGAGATGGTAATGGAAAAAATGGATATGAGTAAAATACACATGGCGTAGAAGTAATAGTCATCACTTAGCCACAGTATAACACTGAAGAGTTGAAACACATAGAATGGATTGAGGACCTAAGACAGAGAATGAGAGCAGGGTAATTAATTAGGATTAAAGGAACACAAAAAATGAGGAACTATATGTATATATCTGAAAAAAACCTGAGACTTTAATGTTACCTCCTCAAACAGCAAGTTTAAGTAAGGCTTCACAGGCACATCAATAACGTTGGGCCCATAAATGCGTCTCCTACAAGAATTGGTGAGCTGTCGTTACTGAGAATTGCCTGGGGTCAAAGAGCTTGTTATTCCATTAGTTTGTCTTTTCCTACCTGAAGATCTGCTCCTGGAGACTGAGACCAGCCTGGAAGCCATATAAGTCTCTGGAAGTCCAGTCCTCATTGAGGACACTGAAGACAATAATGGCTTTGTTAAACTTGTCCTTAAAGAATAGCCATATCTGCAACACCTGTTTCAAGACTTCTAAAAATATGTGACATTTGTTTGGATTGTATATCATTGTCCTAAATGCTGGAATAAATGGGGGGGAGTTCCACAGGAGATTTTATTAAACCAATGGTTAGATAAATATGCTCAACTGTCAGTAATTTCCTGTATTTCTGGTCTTTCTGCTTCATTACCTCACACAACAAAAGGCTCCCTTCTTGTTCAACCAGATGTAACGGAGCCCTTCAAACAAATAGTAGCGCAGCAGAGTTTTCTGCAACAGAAATGAATGAACCATCAAACATTACTTTGGATCAGATTCTGCAAAGTGAATAATCAACAATTTTCCAGTAACTTACTTCCTTCTTGTATAAGTGAACTGTATCTCTCCATTCAGGAACCTCCAGGTCCTCGAGGATTTCTAAACTGAAAATAAATGAAAACATAAACCATCGTTTTAATCAACTATTTTGCGCTGAATGAAGTGTGATGATAATGCTTCTGAGCAAAAGACGTGATGCTAACCTGCCATCCTCCATCTCCTCTGTGAGAACTTCCACAACAGAGCTTTCACCATATTCAGTCTGATGATTTAAGACACAATGAACACCTCTGTAACTATTAAAGACTCGGCATCAACCAAACAAGGCAGAAAAAATTGAAAGCAGCTTTTGCTGTAAGAAATTTGCACGTATTTAAACAGGGTTTAGACAGAACAAACACATAAAAGGTTGTAATAACTAAAATGTTTGCAAATATCTGTATGCTTCAGCTGGGAAAAAATCTCTTTAGCTAACAGTTGTCAGCAGGTATTTGAGCTCTCATGTTGAAAAGCCAATCTCCACGCAGTGAGTACGTCATTGGGGGGAAACACCGAATTGTACAAAATGTCTTACTGTAGTTATGGCTAATTAACTGTCTGTATTGTAACTGACAATCATTAATCTGCACCGACTTTAAAACTGTATGTTTTCCATTATTGTTGTTGCTTGTTTATTTAGTTTAATATATAGTCAACAATGTTACCTTTTTAAAAAAAAAAAATTAACAACCTAATCACAGATCTCAGGGCAAAAAAAAAGAAGAAAAAAAAAACGAAACTAAAAGATGTTCTCTTTTAGTTTTACCACAGATAACAAAACAATCACAGTGAAAACAGACCACCAGTAGTGTAATACACCATAAGTCATGCTACTGATCCTCAAGTTTATTCTATTCTATTATTTTTATTTTTCATTTATTGTATTATATGTTGCATTGGACAGAATCATTGAAACAAAGCAACACTTTTTAAAGGTACATCACAGTGATTTCTATACAAAATTGTTTCTTAAAAAACACAGGACTGTCAGCTGTAAACCTAAATTGTGAACTGCACCCTAAGATGAAGCAAAAACGAAAAAGTAATATCTCACTTTTAGCAGCAGAACTTCTGCCAGAGCCAGGGGGCATGTGCAGCAACGGGCCAGGATACCAAGCCGTGGCCGCCAGTGAAATACAAGCAGGAGGAGACCAAAGGACAGCAGCGCAGCCAGGTGGCACAACCACACCCGCCAGCGCACCCACTTATACCCCTGGACATCCTGGTGATTTAGACAGAATTGAAGTCAGACATTTGTTATCTGTGACCCCAGGACCTAAGTAATGGTACTATTAAAGTCCAGATTGTCATACAGGCTTGTTGATTTATCTGGACACTGTAAGGCTGCCTGAAACATCGGTTCCCAAAGTGTGGGGTGGAGCACTTGCAGGGAGGCACAGCAAGGCAAATTGATTACAATTGTGATATTTTCCTTATTTGTGGGAGAAACCTATTTCTGGTGAAACTGCAGTGTTTTGAATAAAAAGCTCAGTGGATATGTAAAACAATATCTGTAAAATGTGTTGATATTGGGGGGGCTTGTCAATAGTCCTGTTAACAAAAGATTGGCGTTAGAGAACCAATTATCTGAAACAACACTGCTCTATATTTAACATTTACTGAGAAAACCTGTTCGCCTATTCATCTGTCAACTAACAACCATGTAAAGTCACTGCATTTCTCTGCAAAATGTCCTTGTTATGTTTAATATATAAGGCTAAAAAAATATAAATCCACTTACCATGTGGGAGACAGGACAGAGCAGTGGGTCTCGTGGACAAGGTGATTGGAGTCCACTGAGGGGCTCCACCACACTACCTGCAGAACAGAAAAGTGTCTTGTTTAAGAAACCTTATATATTTATATACACATACAGCAGCACTACAAACCTACACTATCAATATTGTGAATTTACTGTCTTGTGTTATCTCATTGTGAAAGCTTTTTTATTTATTTTTTTAATTTTGTGCTGAGCGTAAATTTGATTTCACTTATATACAACTTTAGTTAGCTTTAAGACGTGACTTTTCAAACTTCTTGCACCTGGAATTGTTGTAATATATTGATTAGCTATTCCTTGGGTAGCTTATAGACATTGTTGCTAGATGTCTTCTCACATTTGGGTTACTTATTTGCATACTTTTATAATAAAAAGTTAATTAACAAAATGTTTGCACAAAGATTCAAGTGCCTTTTTATTTATACTTCTGGTGTGAAAAATCTCTATTTTGTTTAATGCCATAACTGTAAGTACTTTAAGCAAACAGTTTTACACATACAATACTGTACCATTTTAAAGAGAGACACAACTGGAAACAAAATGCACTCGGAATGGGTCTAGAGATGATACCTCGACACATTTACCTATTATATCATCCCTGGTTTCTCCGCTTACACTTACAGCTCTTACAATTTGTAATTACAACGTTATAGGAATCTAAGCTGGGTAGCTTCAAACCCTCAATCAATTCAGTGTTATAAACTGTGAAAGACATTTTCAAAATAAACGTTTAACACCAATTTAAAGTCGAAAAAAGGAGAAGCGCGTACACAAAAGTTACCATTAAAAATATTCACGTCAGACCAAATGACTGGATGACTGGAAGTTACCATAAACTAAACTATGAGCCGTAAACACACCTTCAATACGTCTATTATCTTTATGGAGAGACAGTAAAATCAAAGTAAAAAAATATTAGTTTACCTAAACTCCCAGTAAAAGTTGACAAAATGAGACGCAAGTTACGTAGCTAAAAGATACAGAATCTGTAAAGTGACGATACATTAAATGCAGCAGCTCGGATTTAGACCAGACACTTCTCGCTTCCGCTTCCAAAAAAAAAAAAGAAGAGGAAATGTCGAAACGCAGGTACAATAATACTTCGTCGACATAAACACGGGAAAAACACCTTTCGATGAAAAAACAGTGAGCTTACTGTCACCGCGAATCCGTGAGTTTAGTCAAGGCACGAACGATCCGGAGAGACAGAGTGTTACAAGCGAAGAGAAGGTGGAGGTTCCACCGCTGCGACTCCACCTGCTCTTCAGTACAAGTAGTAGCTTTAAACTGGCTGCACCTGAACGCATTATATTTGCTGAACTGAAGCATCTGTAGCTAATTTAGGAAAATATTTAGATGAAGTAATCTTTTTTTCTTCTTTTTTTTTTGCAATTTAGGGGCAAAGGTTTACGTTTCTTTTTCAGCTATTGCTATATTTTGTATTATTTTATATAAAACATAGCTATCTGGACTAGGCATTAACTAATATTTTGGCTAACTGTAGGTATGGTAAATGCTTTTTACTATTTTATGGCATGCCTTCTAGCTAATGTCTTTACTGTTTACTATTTACATTTTAAGCTATTTCTGAAACAAAAACAAAACAAAAAAAAAAAACCAACGTTGGTCTGCCCATCCATATTTCTAGGATACAATTTAAAAAACTTCTCTTTTTAAATTTTTCATTTTTTCAGTTTAATTTAACAACTAATTTAGCTATATTTTTAGCTTACTTTTAGCTGGTTTATCTGACTATTTACTATCTTCGGTAGATCTAATTATCTAGAGGAACATTTTGCTTGTGTTTTTTTCCCCAAAGGCAATACTGGCTTACAAAAGGAAAGTAAAGTAAAGTAAAAGGAAAATAAACTATTTGTCGTTGTGACACACCACACCACTGCACACAACAAAATGTAACCTCTGCTTTTTAACCATTACCAAAGTGAGCAGGGGGCAGCTTAAGCGCCCGGGGAGCAATGTATTGGGACGGTGCCATGCTCAGGGGTAACTTGGCAGCTTAAAGTATCAAGTTTGCGATCACACCCAGTGTAAACACAGTTCATTCTCTCACTTTGTTTGAATTTACTTGTTTGGTTTGAGGCTCATCCATTACAGGAGTTGTTTGACTGGTCGGAAATTCTACTCCTTCTAGTTGCAATTCATTCACGTTCACCACTTTGAGTTGCAGACTGGTCTGGACTAAGTTAACTGGTGTCACAACTATCTCCACAGTTATTCTACAGCATTCTATTTGTACATGTATCCTCATAGTTTGAGTTCCACTTTTAAAATTGTTTATTTTCTACCTTGGTCCATTTGTGTTCTGTACCATGTGAATTTCTTTGAACTTTTACGTTGTAAGACGGTATCATAATTACACTACTACAACTACTACTGATAATAATAGTAATACAACTATAATCTTGTTTTCAGAAATATTTATTTGGGATTCTGTAATGACCTTACTGAAACTACAACTACTTTAAATGTCTAGATAGACAGTGTTAATACCCAATCAGCCCTTAAGTTACCAAGTCTAGTATCTTTATCATTATTTCTAGCTCATTATGACTTGTGATTAAAGGAATCTCATCACATGTCATTATGGATCATTTCTGTCTTGTGATTTCAGCTAACCACAATTAAGAATATCCCCTGTAAAAAACAGAAACACTGTTGTATCCTGTATTTTGCCATGTGTGATTAATGTTTGGTTACAATGGGTGTATTCTGTCATATGAGAACAATTATGAAGAATTATAGAGTAATTATGTCTCATCCAATGTGGAGTCAGACTCAGTTTCATTTAATGGTACATATAGATACAATGGCTTATACTACTGTTTGGGAACCAACACTTACATCATGTGTAGCAGTACTGTATTTGTCCTTGCTGAATATTAACACAAGTTTTAATTTATTTAGATAAAAACAAGATGACGTGTTAGACAGGCGACTTCTGACAACTTGACGGTCTGGCTATGCCTTTTTTAGCTGTATCGTTGTATCTCGTTGTTGTTAGACTGCTTTGTTAACAAAGTAAAACAAATAACAAAAGCTAAAAAGCTATTTCGAAGTAAGAGGAACTGCCATTTTCCTCATTCAACAACAACAGCTGGCCAGTCTGACAGACCGGGTGATAGACTGAAACCAGACTGACTGGTTTCATTACCAATGCTAATGTCACAAGTCGGTGCAGCTTCTTTTTTGCTAATGTCACAAGTCGGTGCAGCTTCGTCACTGCAGGTTCACGCAGTCTTACCACGCCTGTGCATTGTCTTGTCGCCTAGAGAAAAGCAGCTTCCGCGTCGTCTTTCCTCAGAATATTTTCTTGAGAAACAGAAAGCTGTCCATGTTTCACTTTGTCCTGATGTTTAGCTTCATTCCGACTGAAACTACACTCTGTACGGAAAGCGCGTGGTTCAAAATACCCCAGCCGCGTATGCATTAAGCCGACAATTTTGCTTTATTTTTTGTAGTCCTTAAAGATACCAAAACTCTCAACACCTCGACTAGATGTATTGAAAATACTTTAAAAAAACAATAGTTGAGCAACACGCATTATTATACAAATTATGTAAATTTCCTTAATTTAAATATATATATAAAAGTTAGCAAATTAAAGCTATTACAAGTAATGGAAATATAGGTAAAAGCCATCCAATTAATATTTAAAGCAAGTCAAGAAATAAATAAAGATGTACCACCAACAACCATAAACAGTTACAAAAACTTAACATGCTCACTGCAACTTCACTTCGTGAATAACATTCAAACATTAGACACAATATTTACAGTGTTTATGAGGAATAGCACCATTGCCTGTTTTGTCTAATGTACTGCACATGTGATGTTTCTTCTTCCAAATGATCATATCATACAAACTTACACGAACGTATGTCATACATTTCTACACCCATGGTGACAAAAACACATGCTGATCCTCTTCTATTTATTTTTAGTTTGAGGTATTTATGATTTGGGGATCTTGAAGAAGCTGACTTTTCTGATGTTCAAATTGCTTGGGTTTTCTCTCTTTTGTAAGTTGCCATCACCTTCTTAATCTCTGCAATCGCTTTTCCTAGGTTGAGTCTCTGTAAGGCAGGTGGTCACACATTGTATATATCTATTCATATACAATTATATATACATACAGTATATATACAGTATATATAACATATACAATTTTGCACTCTAAATTACTTTGTAAATGCAATTTCTGATTCACCACTCATATGACAGCAACTCACTACATTTGGGCTTAGAACATGACAAGTATTGCAACAGTAACACAATTGGATCAAATATTGGTGTAGGCAACATAATAGCATGTTAAACACCCATGATATTCCCGGTACTTACAGGTACAAGATCTTTTACAACATACATATGTGGCAGTGGGTAAATTTTAGTTGCTTTGCTTGTGTTTGTATCAATTTTATTCAGACATGCCAGTGTGTTGCCTCCACTGATGATCATGGAACATGATCCACAAATACGTGTGAAATATAGTCAGTGAGTCATTGTAGTCTGGCACAAAGGTCCAAATGACTGTAAATTAATAATTTTGACACAACATATTGAAGGCCAAGGTTTTGTTTTTAATCATTTACATTTAATGTAAAGTAAAGTATTACATGAAGTTTTGGAAGAGAAAAATGTAAAGATGCATTTTTTATTTAGTGTCTGCCCAGATTATCCATCCATCCATTCATACATATATACATATAAAATAAATATAATACATAACACATATAATACATATATTATAAACACTAAACAATTATCAGGGACAACTGTATCCAAAATCATCACATCAAAATGGTTGTGCAATACACCGTACAAGTGGGACTGGTGAATAGACCATTACCTTAAAACCTTTGTTCTTAAACACAAAAGGCAAGTCCACTTTAAAAAAAAAAAAGTTTATTAAACAAACCAAACCAAGACGAGTGCAGGAACGAAACAACTTGAAAAATAAAGCACTGTGTGGATCTGAGGGGTGCTGCTGTAGTTATTAAACAATTATTTGATAAAACAAATAAATTGTGCCAATTCTGATATGTTCATATAGGTTCATATTCTCAAAACAGGCGGAGAAACCTGACGCAGACAACTTAGCTTACCGTTTTTAGGTTAGATGCCAAAATCGATTCTCACTTTGTCTAAAACAGTGGTTCTCAAACTGTGGTAAACCAGTGGTACGCGAGTGCTCTCTAGTGGTACGCGGATTTGTAGTAGTGGTATTTTGACATTTACAATTTTAATTGAATAAATCTGAATTTACATTTTCAATTGAATAATCCATGCACAATTAATACAACATTTAGAAAAAATGTGTAGCATAAACATATCTCCTGTGTGGTGGAAGATAAAAGCTAAGGCCTACGCTGCTATATTCTAATGTTGGTCATCATGGTGGTACTCAGAGAGATCAGTGTTTTCTCAGGTGGTACAAAGTATAAGTTGAGAACCACTGGTCTCAAATATCACAAATACAACTTTCGCAGATGTCGTTTTCAATGAAGACTTAAGATGAAAATTACAAAATTACAGAATTAATTTTATGTACACAAACTAGTTTTATGTTTTGTTTTTTTAAAAGCAACTTGAAGGAACATTCTTTCCATTTTTATATATACAGTCTATGGTACCCAGCATAGAAAAAAAAAACAACAACTGTAAGTACACGTTACCTTTTTTTTCTAATCTACCTATAAACCCTTGTTTGGTCAAATGAACCACATGAGATGACAAAAACGTACATGTTTAACAAAGACTGCAGCGTTGAGGTTAGTTAAACATACAGTGGTGTTGTTTTGAATGTGACTCATGTAACATCACAAAAAACTGAATAAATCATTTACACCAGAGGCTTCATGTAAAGTGTTAATGTGGGGGATGTGGCCCTCTGCTGGGGTTCTGTCTTATTCCATATCTAAGACCCATAAAAACCCAGGGTAGAGGTAAGTGGGAAGGTTGGTTTGAAAATTTTAAAGAATGTAGAAGTTTTCAAACCTTTGGTTTACCATAATTTCTGTCATACTTTTACAAACTTTTACATTTGTTTTCTCAGTTTCTGAAATAATCTGATCATTTAGTACTCAAACTGAAAACGGCTCTGATGACAGGTGGCTCTCTTTTCTGTCAAGTTACAGGCTGTTGCCTCTTTAGTAGGAGATAGTTATGACGGAGGGTTCGAAGCTCTGTCAGTCTTCCTAACAGACGCCCGAACCTCTGAGGTCCCCCTCGTGCAGCTGCAGCCTGGGCCCCACTAACTGTAGAGAGCAGGTCCAGGATCAGCTCCTGCATTTTCTCAACACAGCTGGCCACCTGAAGGGACGCTCGGTCTGCGGAGAAGAAGAAGAAGAGAAATGACACAACGATAGAAATTTTAGTTTTATTCCTGAGTGCAGCTCCAGTTGTTGATGTCCTGACCTGAGCAGAGCAGAGCTGTAGCAGTGAGCAGACTGTATTCAGCCTCCGACACCCGCAGCGTCTTCATGCTGTGGAAGAAGTTGAGTACTGGACCAAAGAGATCCTCGCTGCTTCCTGTTAACACGTGGAGACATCCTTACAATCAGTGTGAACTTCTATTATCAAGGATTAAGGATTAATTCATTTGATTTGTTCATTGATTGTTTTGTCTCTCTTACCAGGGTAAGAAATGTGTTTGTCGTTGGTAGATTTTATTGCAACTTTACAATTATTATAGCGTATCTTTTTTTTTTCAAAGCCAAAGACTTTGTAGAATGTTTAACCAGGCTGTTGCAATTTCTAACCCCATTTAGTTTGTTTTAGTTTGCCAGCTTTCTAATCATTTTTGACTCATCAAATACCTTTTGTGAAATGTTCTTCTCCAATGTCTTTAGAACCTAAGGTTATTTATGGGATCACGGTTCATCATAGTGTTGCAAATATTTACCTAAATGACTAAGTGAAACTTCATAGACCAAGGTCTCAGTGTGTTGTTTCATTTACCAGGACTGGGGCTGGGTGGGTTACTGCAGAACTGTTGGGCTAAGAGCAGAAACATGACCTCCAGTGACGAGACGGACAGAAGAGAAATTTGGTCGGAGAAATCCAGGAGGTCAAACCCTGAGACAGAAACAAGTCACAGATCGCAGCCTTTTAATAACAATGGTACTGGAAACAAATATTATATTACATACACACACACACACACACACACACACATATACACATACAGTATATGTATATGTATATGTATATGTATATGTATATGTATATGTATATGTATATGTATATGTATATGTATATAAATATGTATATGTATATGTATATATATATGTATATGTATACATATATATATGTATATATACACACACATATGTATGTATACATACACGTAAGATACTGTTTTTCTGTGTCTATATTGTTGATTTGAAGTGACATTGAGGTCGTTGTACCTGGTACTGTTCTGGCAAAGTGAAGCAGTCTGTCCATTTGAGGTGAGACAACATCAGCGAGTCCATCCACTTCCTCTGTATACGGCCACTCAAACAACTGGTCCAACAGACAGAGGTCGTCAGGAAGATTTTAAAAAATATATATACTTAATAAAAAACAACTTGTGTGGTTTTCTAAAGGACTTTTCACCCTGCTGTGGCTGCTGATCTGGGCTCTGTAGAGTCGGTGGGCCTCCACCATCCTGTCCACCGTGTACTTCTGCTCTGGAGTTAGACTCACAGACGAGGCCTGAGAAAAACAGAGCCACAACCACATCAAACCAACAACACGAATCTCAAATATAGAGGAAACTATGGATAATATAACTAAGACACCGTTATGAGTAAGAAATTACAATAATAATAATATTTCTTTATTAAACTGATTTTAAATTTTGCTCTATTTCGTTGTTTTGGCAACCACAGCAGATAAATGAAAGGAAATTATTCATGATTTTCTCCTTGACCGTTTAGAAGACCGTTGACAGTCCATCATTATCATTTCCACCTTGTCTCTCTAACTTTACCTCCTTAGATAAGTATTTGTTTGTCTAAGTAGTTTGATTCAATTTTACTGTCAGTGTCTGGAATGAACACAATTCCACTTTTCCAGAACCCAGACATTCCTGCAGTACCTGTCCTTGGATTCTGCTGGTGGAGCTGACTCTCCTGCTGTCACCGTTCTCCTCCTCATCCTGATGTGCTCTGCCTCGACCTCCTTTTCTCAGTCGCTTAGACTGACACTGCACCTCGGTCAGAAGACCTGCGGAGGAATCAAAAACAATTGAAGACCTTAACAGCTACAAGGAAAAAAGATTATATATATAAATGTATGTATATTTTTTATATATACAAATATATATATATATGTGTATATAAATATATATATATATATTGTAGATATTCTTACACTCGGCCAACATTCCCACAGCTCTGCACTTCCTCAGCCGACAGTCTTGGCACTTCCTCCTCATGTACATGTCCATCTCACAGGCTCCACCACTCTTACAGTGATACACAGCCTTTTTAGTCACGCTACGTCTGAAGAAACCTGCAGAGACAGAGAGACAAAAGAACGTTTAGACTGAAAGACAATTTATTCCAAAAAGAGAAAAAAACCTTCAGATGGATGTGTGTACCTTTACATCCTTCACAAGTAAGAGCATTGTAGTGATACCCAGATGCTTTATCCCCACACACCACACACAGCTCGTCCTGACCTCTGCCCTTGCCTCCTGACCCTACCCGTGACCTCCGCCCCAGAGGCAGTCCAGTCACACCGAGCCCCTGAACCAGACCTCCACAGTAGGCATCGGGGCTGGGATCGCAGGCAGCCTCCAGGCAGTGAGAGCTGTAGTGATACGAGGGTTGGCAGAGTTGAGAGAAGGAAGAGGAGGAGGAGGAGGAGGAAGAGGAAGAGGAGGGTGAAGAGGTGGTGGAAGATGGAGAGCCGTACAGGGAGAAGGGCAGGGGGGCTGAACTGTACTGTTGTTGGCTGTAAGGAAGCAGCTGGAGGTCAGGGTCCTGCAGAGGGTAGCCCAGCGGGTCAGCCAGCATGTCTGAGAAGAAAGAGAAAGGAGATTCAGAAGTGGGTGATGAAATACTCACACCTCTGCAGGGAGACTCCAACTTTTTTATCTCAATCCTCTCAAAGGTTCCATGTACTTCTGGGTAAGATTCGTGATTCTATGTTCCTCCTGTTACTACTTTACATCAGTTGTTTATTGATTACTATGTGAAATAGAAGTGAAATAGAAATTCTGAAGAAACATCTTCATCAAAACCACAATAAACAGAAGCCATTATCACTGGCATTGTTTAATCAAACATCAGTGTCACTGTTAATAAATAAATCAAGTCATTTCATGTTCACATACACCTGTGAACTTGGAGCTGACGCCACATTTAAAAACCACCCGTTAAGTTAGAAAAAAAACACGTTTTCTCTGGAACATCTATGAACCAATTCTAGATCTGAAGTCGTCTTATTCAAGGGTTCTCCCACAGTTTTCATAACCAGGAAGTGAATTATTCATAAAGCACTTTTCCAGTCTGCTCCTCTGTACTCCTCCTCATCTCATCTCATGTCTCACCGTTAGCTACAGCTCTCATTCAGGCTAAGCATGGTCACTAGGAACAACAAGGTTGTAGTGACTTCTCCAAGGGCCCAACGGCATGTAAACTAACAGTCTGCTCCCTACTTACTGGACAACTGAACCATGCACTTTGTTTTTGCAAAGCTTTTATTACTATGAAAAAAGACTGAGCATGTTTGGATAAACACAGTGGGTTCTTAAGTTATGGCGCGTGTGTTGCTAGTGGTTCTAGGGCACCCCTCAGTGGTATGCAGAGGATTCTGATTTCTTACTTGAATTTAAATGAAAGGGTGAAGGAGTAAATGTCTCTTCTCGTCCTACTGGTCTCGGCTGAACAGTGCAGGCCTGTGTGGATGTATTTTAAGTGTTGGTCCAAATGGAGATTCTTGGAAAGACAAATATTCTGGTGGTTGGACATGGTGTACAGAGCTTGAGAACCACTGTCCTAGTCAACATCTCCAGCAGCAGTACGTGTGCTGTTGCACTACAGAGGTCGTCTAAAGAATGTGTTCTGGCTGATTGATTGGACTGACTTCACTGCCTGATTACTCTTAGGGGATGCAATAGAAAGCTGAGAATGGACGGAGGTCTTGTGAACATGTCTGTGCTGCCGAAACAGGATGCAGCTGAGAGCTCCCAGTGCCATTTATGATTTTTTTCTCTCTCTTGGCATTTCATTCACGGAGTCCGTGATGGTGGTTCAGTGCCGTGACGCCATTAAAACACTGAGGCGTGTCTCTGCCGAGAAAACGTGACCACGGGCAAGTCTTTAATGTACAGCTGGTCCAGACCGCAGGGACTGCTGGGAGATCTGTTTGGTGTAAAAGAAGAGTCCAGCCGAGTGCTGCACATCACAGGACTCATTCCA